ATAATCTAAAAACCTGGTTACAGTTATTTACCACATGTTTTATCAATTATCCATTCTTAGAGTCCACAGAAGTTGGAGTGGCTCTTTGTAGCTGCAGCTGAGTTTTAAGAGTCTCATTTTTTCCTTTTCAGTCTGTTATCAGTAAAACAGAATATCAATCTTCTGGTGCTGAGGGTTTTTTTGGGGGGGGTTGTTTGTTTGTTTTATTTTGCTTTGTGGGTCACACCCAGCGATACTCAGGAATTACTCCTGGCATTGCTTGGGGAACTATATGGGATGCTGGGAATGTGAACCCGAGTCAGCCGCATGCAAGGCAAACACCCTACCTGCTGTACTATTGCTCCAGCCCCATGGTGCCGGGGTTTGGAGCTTCTTCCAAGAGGAGTGATAAATGGAGCTCTGTTGTCTAAACTGCTAACTAGTATAAAGATATCTTTTTCCTGGGGCTGGAGCAATAGCACAGTGGATAGGGCGTCTGCGTTGCACGTGGCCAACCCCGGTTCGATTCCCAGCATCCAATATGGTCCCCTGAGCCCTGCCAGGAGTGACTCCTGAGTACAAAGCCAGGAGTAACCCTTGAGCATCGCCAGGTGGGACCCAAAAAGTAAAAAAAAAAAAAGATATATATCTTTTTTCAAGGTAATTCTAAAATTTAAAATTATTAGAAGTTTCAGTGATCAAATATTTGTAGATGTGTTAATTTTTTTTCATAATTACCTCCCAACCAAGTTAACCAAACTTGGAAGCAACTAGTGCAAATAACTTTATTTTACCTTAGTACTACTGAATAATCTTGAAAGATTAAATGAATGTTCTAATTAGACAGCTGGAATCAATTCTAATCCCTAAACACTGGTGGAATTAAAAAAAGTTATGTAGTTTTATAACTTTAGAAATCTATGTCTTAAACAAATTACCAAGCCATTTTATTTTACCACAATTATTTCAAATCATAACTTTTCTATGCCAGATATTCTAACAATTCTTACAGAAACAGACATATTTTCAGATACAATAAAAGGTCCCTTGTGTTTAATAAATTGTAGATGCCAGCATAATAAAACATTTGAACTGTCAGTGTTTATAAAAACATAAAAAAGCTTTCTTTGATTTAATTTTTATAGCTGCGTACCTCTGTTAATTGTAAATTAATCTAATTTCTCACCAAATTTAGATAAAAAGAGCTCTTATTTCACTTTTTTATTTTGCTATGGTATTTAACAGGTACTATTTCAGGTACCCTAAAACCTCAGGGAGACACTAGAGGTAGACACGGTTGTGTACAAAGTTCTACAAAGGTGATTGAATAAATGTATTCTAAGAGGCTTGATTTAAAAGGTAACCCCCTTAGGTAAACCATGTAAAACTTGGTTTACAGACTGTAAATAAGCAGCCTAGTCTATAAAGAAACTCACAGCTGCATATGCTGTCACTAGTGTGACCAGGATAGTTGAAGCCAGAGGTTTACCAAAGAGAATGTCAGCAAAAAGGCAGACATGCTCTTGAGCTTGCTAATAGGCCAAGGGACTTCCAAATGAACATCTAAACTGGTTCTAAGTATTTATTCTTAGTTCTATGTGCAAATAGTCATTTTGAGAGAACAAAAGTTTCTTTTTTAAATTTTTATTTTTAATGAATCACCATGTGGTACAGTTACAGACTTACAAACTTTCATGGTTATGTTTCAGTCATATAATAATCGAGTACCCAACTCCATCAGTGCCCATTCTCCCCCACCAATGTTCCCATTATCCCTCCTGCCACCCCCCATTGCCCCCCTTCCTCTGTGGCAGGCACATTCCCTTTGACTCTCTCTTCTTTAGGGTGTTATGGTTTGCAATATGGGTACTAAGTGGTCATCATGTATGGTCCATAGTCTATTTCAGCACACATCTTCCATCCTGAGCGAGCCCTCCAAGCATCATTTACTTGGTGGTCCCTTCTTTATCTCAGCTGCCTTTTCCTCCAGCATGTGAGGCTGGCTTCCAAGCCATGGAATGATCCTCCTGGCCCTTATGTCTACTATCCTTGGGTGTTAGTCTCCCATTATGTTACTTTATATTCCAAAAATGAGTGCAGTCATTCTGTTTCTATCCCTGTGTCTCTGGCTCATTTCACTAAGCATTATACTCTCCATGTTGATCCATTTACATGCAAATTTCATGAATTCATCTTTTCTAACAGCTGCATAGTATTCCATTGTGTAGATGTATCAAACCAGTCATCTGTTCTTGGGCACTCGGGTTTTTTCCAGAGTCTGGCTATTGTAAACAGTGCTACAATAAACATACAACTGCAGGTATCATTTTGACTATACTGTTTTTGCATCTCCAGGATATATTCCCAGAACTGGTATTGTTAGGTCATATGGGAGCTCAATTTCTAATTTTTTAAGAAGTGTCCATACTGTTTTCTGAAAAGGTTGAACCAGTCGGCATTCCCACCAGCAATGAAGGAGAATCCCTTTCTCCCCACGTCCTCACCAATACCGGTTGCTTTTGTTCTTTTGGATGTGTGCCTTCTGTAGTGTGAGATGATCTCATTGTTGCTTTGATCTGCATCTGAAGAGCATTTATTCATGTGCATTTTGGCCATTTGCATTTCTTCTTTGAGAAGGTTTCTGTTCATTTCATCACCCCATTTTCTGATGAGATTGGATGTTCTCTTCTTGTAGAGTTCAACCAGTGTCTTATATATCCTTGATATTAACCCCTTCTCAGATGGGTATTGGGTTATTGGGTGAATATCCTTTCCCATTCTGTAGACTATGTTGGACACAGATTTTTTTTCCCCTTTATTTTATTTTATTTTTTTAAGTTGTAGATTTACAAATTTTTGTGCTTTGGTTTCAATTATACAATGATCAGATACCCATCCCTCCACCAGTGCCCATTTTCCACCACCATGGATAATATCCCTCCCACCCCCATCCCTCCATCCCCCCTGTCTCTGTGGCAGGGCAATCCCCTGGACACAGATTTTTTTTAACAGCACATAATTCTTGTCCATCATGGGATCATCCACAGAATATTTCCTCTAAGCCAGACTACTCTGCAGAAGAGGAGCAATGGGTATTGGAACAAGGTTTTCAAAAAGGAAATTGGTGGTTTAAGGGCACACACCTTCTCATCTGGGAAGAGATGCTTTAATAACATATGTGAAAACCATCTTCCAAGGGAAGGGACTGAATAGGACAGTAAGAGAAATAACTCAGAACTGTGCTTTATGTGCCATTAATGAACCTAGCAGAAATCTTAGGCCTGTCTTCTAACACCGTCTGTTCAGCACCAAGGAACTTATCCAGGAGAGGATTGGCAGCTTGACTTCATGCAAATGTCCATAATGTTTAGGATATAAATATCTGTTGTTTCTTACTGACACCTTCAATGGATTGGCAGAAGCTTTTCCAATCCAAACTGAGAAAGCCAGAGATGACTTGGTGTTTCTGTGTCCATTAGAAAAATACGGACACAGTCACTTTCTATCGACTGAACTCAGAGATGAAGGAATTATTTCCTTTCATTTTTATAATGATAGAAATTAGTATGGCATTGTTACTTCAGTTTTTGTTGCTTTAACTTTTGTGTTTTCTAAAACAGCAAGCCACTCTGCCCTTACTAGATCAGAGAGGGTCTTTTACTCCTTTTAATTATTTCAAAGTGATATTCCTCAGCCTAATTGATCTTATCCTTTTCTTTCAGATGTTGATAACTTCAGAAACCCAACCCATTCATTGCCTGGGCCCCATTAAAGCTAAGGTAGCATGAGATTTCACCCTTGTGTAGGTAAGGATCTACAGCCCTTTGTCAGTGTGAGCAAATTACAGAAAATGGAACTTGGACCATTTTCTCCCTAAAGAGAAAGTGAAATCTCTAGAAGTATAATTTAGGTAAGTAGACAAGGAAAGCCCCCCCCCCCCCCGCCCCCACCATGGCAATGCAATTCCTAGGATGTACTCAAACCACCTAGCCCTAAGGCCATCAGGAAACACCTTGTGAGCATAGGAGCTAAGGCCTGGTAAGACTTGGGAAAACTATAAAAGCCACCTTGAACAAAGGAAGGATGTAGGCACTGCCAGAGCCCATATGATGCTTGTGCTCACGTGTCAAGCACACGAGGCTCCTGAGCTCATGTGTCACCCACATTTCCCCTCTTGAGAGACGTACTTCTGTCTCTTCATATCTAATGCTGGGATGTATGTAGGGGCTTTCTCTCCTTTGGAGAAGCCCTCATTCTCTCTTGAGCTGGTTACTCTCTCTCTCACTTTTTTTCCCTTCTGCCCCTTCCTAACCCTCCAAAAAAAATCTGTTTTACTTCACTGCTTCTCCACTCCTGCAATTCCTTTCTGCTAGAAAGACCTGTAAGCCCTGGGTACTAGGACTCACTTTCCAGACTATCAGTTCTGTCTTCCCCGCTGGCCCTGGAGTGGCACTGGCGGCCTGGGGGGTAGTGACCCTCTCTCTCCTCTCGGCCTCACAAAAGCCACCCTGGGGCCCCACTGGCTTGGGCTCCAGCATGAGTCCGCAGCCCCAGAGAAATCGGGTGCTGGAGATCAAGTCCCATGCAGAGAAGACCAGGCGGACATCGGTGTGGCTGGCAGGCCTCGAGGGCCCGGCTGGCTCTAACAGTTCCCGTCTCCCCATCTGGACCGGGTGGCAGAGGCGGGTCGCGAGAAAGGGCCACGTCTCTCCTCACCGAGCCAGCCGCGGGCGCCGCCGACTCCACGTGGAAGTCGGTGGAAGCCTCCGCGTTTGGAGACGCGCGGCCTGCACTTTCAGGGCAGGCAGGCGTTGCTGAACGGAATGTCTGCCGGGGACTAACACACGTACGCGGCGAGCACGGATGGGGCGGAGGCGGCCTGACCGGGCACGGGTCTGACCTCGGAGCGCAGGGCGCCCACGCCTCCGGGCTCCGAGTCCCGCCGCCCGCCGAGCGCACGGACGACGCTCTAGGCCCCGGAGGAGGAGGCGCCGGAAGTCTCCACTGCTCCTCGCGGGGCGCCCTAGCCCGCCGGCCTCTCTGTCTCCTCGTGGCTGGGCGGGCGCGCTGTGCGGACTCCCCGGCCGGGACCTTCCGCGCGGCCCTGGTGGCCGCGGGGTCTGCAGAGGTAGGGCCTCCCGGGGTCCCGGCCGCCGGCGTAGGGCCTCCCGGCGCCCCGGCCGCTCGCGGAGTGGCCTGGCTGCGCGCTTGGCGCCGCTGGTCCGCGTAGCCCTGGCCAGGGTCGGGGCGGTGTGGGGCCTCCGGGGTCGGGGGCCGCCCCTAGGGCGGTGTGGGGACCTCCGGGGTCGAGGGCCGCCCCCGAGGCGGTGTGGGGCTTCCGGGGTCGGGGGCCGCCCCCGGGGCGGTGTGGGCTGCCCGGCCTGCCCGGCGTGCCCCAGAGCCGTCCGCAAAGATTGGGCTTGTTCCGGGCGCTGGAACTGGGCCTTGGTGGGCGTAAGCTAGGCACTCTGGGGAGCACCGTGCGAGACGATTGTAGAACAGAACCTCGTGGCGCCGTGGTTCACACACCTGAGCCCCGTTCGGAAGCTGACCCGAGTGTTCACTGTTGGAAGCCGCGGTCAAGACTTGCAGCCTCTTCCCTTTGCAGAGCAGGTGGCCTGCCCCCAGCACCCCTTTTTATAGCAGGTGGCCTGCCCCCTGCACCCCTTAGCAGGTGGCCTGCCCCCTGCACCCCTTTACTTAGCAGGTGGCCTGCCCCCTGCACCCCTTTACTTAGCAGGTGGCCTGCCCCCTGCACCCCTTTACTTAGCAGGTGGCCTGCCCCCAGCACCCCTTTACTTAGCAGGTGGCCTGCCCCCAGCACCCCTTTACTTAGCAGGTGGCCTGCCCCCAGCACCCCTTTACTTAGCAGGTGGCCTGCCCCGTGCACCCCTTTACTTAGCAGGTGGCCTGCCCCCTGCACCCCTTTACTTAGCAGGTGGCCTGCCCCCTGCACCCCTTTTTATAGCAGGTGGCCTGCCCCCTGCACCCCTTTTTATAGCAGGTGGTCTGTCCCCTGCACCCCTTTTTATAGCAGGTGGCCTGCCCCCAGCACCCCTTTACTTAGCAGGTGGCCTGCCCCCTGCACCCCTTTACTTAGCAGGTGGCCTGCCCCCTGCACCCCTTTACTTAGCAGGTGGCCTGCCCCCAGCACCCCTTTACTTAGCAGGTGGCCTGCCCCCAGCACCCCTTTACTTAGCAGGTGGCCTGCCCCCTGCACCCCTTTACTTAGCAGGTGGCCTGCCCCGTGCACCCCTTTACTTAGCAGGTGGCCTGCCCCCTGCACCCCTTTTTATAGCAGGTGGTCTGTCCCCTGCACCCCTTTACTTAGCAGGTGGTCTGCCCCCTGCACCCCTTTACTTAGCAGGTGGTCTGCCCCCTGCACCCCTTTACTTAGCAGGTGGTCTGCCCCCTGCACCCCTTTTTATAGCAGGTGGCCTGCCCCCTGCACCCCTTTTTATAGCAGGTGGTCTGCTCCCTGTACCCCTTTACATGGCAGATTGCCTGCCCTTGTCCCCGTTTACATAGCAGGTGGTCTGCCCTGAGTCTCCGGAGTTGTACCCATGGCCACACCCAGCACTGCTAGGTCCCATGTTTAGATTTTTCATGGTTTCTTTCTAGAAACATAGTACTGTTTTTTATCCTCCTTTTCTAGACTAAAAAGTTCGTGAAAAACATTATTCTGTCTTTTGGCCTGCAGTTCATACACTTAAATAAATGCATGCTAACACAGACATTTATTAGGATACACCTCACCTCAAAACTTTGCAAAAGGAGAGAGTAAGAGGGAATGCGCCTGCCACAGAGGCAGGGGCTGGGAAGGGGTGGGGGTGGCGGGAGGGGTGCTGGGGTACATTGTCTACATTGGTGGTAGAGAATGGGCATTGATGGAAGGATGGGTACCTGAACATTGTATGACTGAGACATAACCAAGAAAGTTTGTAAGTCTGTAAGGTATCTTATGGTGATTTATTAAAATAATCTTTTTTCAAAAAGACAAAAATAAATGAAGGGCAACTTAAAATTAGTTTCCTCATCCCAAGTAATCACCTAAAGAGTGAATATCATTTTGTGCTTCTTACTGTTGGAAACAATAAGGTTGCATTCTGTTTTGCTCTTTACTTACGTTTTTATCCAAGTGTGATGATATAGAAAGCATAAATAAACTCAAGTCCTTATTCATTTTCTTTTAGAAAACACACACTTAAGAACTAAGCTATTTTGCTGTGGCACAACACTGCTGATAGGTGGTTTAAAGAATATGATACTGATTATCTGGAAAATAATTGCTCTAAGTCTTTAAAAAAAAGTGTTGCTATTAGAAATTAACATTAACCCTTGAATCTGTTAAAACCATTACAAAACCTGCCTCTCTCGCATAATATTCCTGGCAAAGCCATCTGTGGATAAAAGTTTCCCTTAATAGTTTTATATGTTTTCAGGTGGCTCAAATCCAGACCCTTACATATGAAAAGCAAGCTCTCTTCCACTGAAGTATATATATCTCTGGTCTAATACTAACAGTTTAACTGATATCACATACCACATGCCAAATCTCTATTTTATCCCCTTATAACTTTGATGGTTTTGTTTCAATATGAATAGTTCATAAATTATTGGAGCGATCATTTTTCACATTTGTTGTTTTACCTTTGTAGTAGAATGAAGTTGTTAGCAGACATTGATCGTTAACAGCTTAAACGGTTCCGTTCTGTTTTTTTTAAAAATTGAATCACCATGAAATATATAGTTACAAAACTGTTTATGATTTTTAGTCATATAATGTTCCAGCACTCATTTGTTTACCAGTGCACATTTCCCACCACCAGTATCCTCAGTTTTTCTCCCTTCTCCAGCATGTAGCTGACCAGTTTTCCCAGCACCACTTGTTGAAGACGCTTTCCTTGTTCCACTTTATATTTTTTGCTCCTTTATTGAAGATTAGCTGATAATATGCCTGAGGGTCTGTTTCAGGATGTATGTCTGTTCTACTGATCTGAGGGTCTGTCATTATTCCAGTACCATGCTGTTTTAATTACTACCATTCAAATTGTATTACATTTTGAAGTTGGGGAAAGTGATGCCTCCCATTTTCTTTTTCTCAGGGACTGTTTTAGTTTTCTGGGAGATGAGGCAGGTATTGTTACATACAAATTTCAGGACTGGTTGGTATATTTCTGTATAAAATGACATAGGTAGCCTTATAGGGACTACATTGAATCTGCTAAATGATATAGAGAATATTGCCATTTTAATGATATCAATCCTCCCAATCCATGAATAGGGGGTGTGTTTCCATTTCATCTTTTATTTCTAAAGTAATGTTTTGTAATTTTTTTTTGGTATAGGTCTTTCACCTCTTTAAATAAGCCGATTCTGGGATACTCAATTTTCTGAGGCACAATTGTGAGTGAGATTTTTAAATAATACCTATTTCTTCTATTTCGTTATTTTTTATATAGGAAAGCCATGGACATTGGCATATTAATTCTGTACGCTGCCAGTTTACTGTACAAATCTATTGTTTCTAGGAACTTTTTTTGTAGAGTCTTTAGGACTTTTTAAAGTATAGCATCATGTCATCAGCAAATAGTGAGAACTCACTTCCTCCTTTGCTATCGGAATGCCATTGATATTTTTTTGTTGCCTAATTGTTATGTCAGGTACTTCCAGTACTATCTTGACTAGAAGTGGTGAGAGTGGGCAACCTGGTCTTGCGCTTGATCTTAAAGGGAAGGGTATTAGTTTTTCCCCATTGAGTGTCATGTTTGCTCAGCTTGTTGAGTTACTTTTGTGGCCCCAAATACTGCTATTTTTCTGGCCCTGAATACTGTGACTTTCCTGAACTTGAAAACCTTAAGACTTTCCAGAAAGGCCTAGACCTGTCTTGACTTTTGGTTTAATTACCAACAGAAAGGGGAATAATTCATTCCCTCAAGGCGCATGTGTTGGACTTTAAAAAGATGGGAATAAAGGACAAGGTGCACTGAATTTGTTGAGCTAGCTCTTTTGCATCTGTTCCTTCAGCCTAAAAGTTATGATCAAGGTTTCCTCATCTAGGAGGTGGGACAGTTTTCAAAATATAAAGAAAAGTTGGTGATTGCCCTTGTGTACTCATAAGCTTATAAGACCAGCTATTGCCACAAGCAGCTAGATTTCCAGGGTACTACTAGGCCTGAACATAGTGGTTTATGCTTCTTGGTTTTGCAGGATGTGGCACATAGGCTGTGTTCAGTCTGTTGGAACAACAGAACTAAATGCTTGCTGTCTTCTGCCATCAGTTATCTCTATATCCTATATTCTGAATTGGGCTACCCTAGGAAAGGCATATTTGCTTTACCTACAGCCTAGCTTTGTTTTTTTCGTTTTGTTTTGTTTTTGGACCACACCCAGTGGTGCTCAGCTTACTCTAAAATGAATTTGTAACTTATTAGCAGTAAAGGTACTCATGATAATGAAAAAATTTCTCAGCTGAGAAGGGTTATGAGTGAAAAATGTTTTAGAAGCAGTAGACTATAGAACCAGCCTTGGCATTTTAAAAGGAAACAAATCAAGTGACCTCGCCTTCTTGCCGGTTTCCTCTTTGCCTTTTTTTTTTCTTTTGGTGGGGCCTCATTCAGGCAAAGTCTTTGGTACAAATTTGAGTCTAACAATAAATTTGCATCTTTTTTTGGGGAGAGGGGGGTGTCTTGTGTCTCTAGGAAGCAGGATGATGTCCATACGCCTAGGAAAACTGATGCTTTTCACCAGTGTGGTGTCCGCTGGGGGCTGTACCGTCATGTATTACCTCATACAAAGTAAGTATCCAAAGAAACACCTGTAATACAACTTCATATTAGCTCTCCTACATCAGAGGAATTACTTCAGAGGCTTTCGGAACATTTGGGGAAAGGAGGAAAGGGAATTTCTTTGACTATTCCTGCAAATATTCCTTCCTCTTTATCCTATAATGCCAACTTTTCACACTACAAATACAAAATAAAGAAGGAACAGGTTTTATTTGCTTAAGAAGCCTTGCTATAAAGGAAGATGAGTTCTCCTAGTACATACTGGAGATAGGTCAGGATTTCTGAGGAATAAGATACTAGATGGTTCACAAGTAGGGAAGACTAGCCATTTCTCAAGTTTTGCTCGCCTATTACCCTGTCACTTTTGTACTGTTAGTTTGTGGAGGAGGTGGAGAGAGCAGAAAATACAAGCATGGTCCAGGATAGTAACACCTTGACATACACTTCTAGTCCCACTGCAGAAATTTGAATTTATAAGAACAGAAAATTACTGTGGACCGATAAGTTCTTTTCGATCATTTCAACTGCTGTAGCAGCAGCAATTTGGGTCCTTCTTTACTTTCTTCCTCCCCCCACTTCCTTCTTCCCTTCCTCCCTCTGAAGTTTCTTTAAATCTGCCTAGCTTAGCTCCTTTCCTCAATTCTGCTATATACATACATATATATACATATATATATATTATATATATATAGCTATATATAGCCAGGGATGTGAATATTACCAGTACACAGCCAAGTAGAATGCATGTAATGCATTCTCATATTCTCGAGAGATGGCTTAGAAGTTCCTGAATCTGAAGGTGGTCCAAGATAAGCATTCAGGGACATTTAGACTGGAAGAGTTCAGCTTTCTCCCTCTTTCCCCTCCTTTATTTTGGTGGAGGCTCAGTATGAGTGTGTGTACTTTACATGGCAGGGATTTGTCGCCTTTTCCTCCTGCAGAGGTTTGACTTAGCAATATGGGCCTCCATATGGATGGGTGAGAGCCAAGCTGTGCGACAGACTTCCTGGGGGGTTGAATCCCAGGTCTTTGTTTGCTGTGTAGCCTGGAGGAGGAGACCTTCGCTTCCCAGCCATAGTCGTCTTTTTTCTGGGAAGGAGGGCAGTATTACTGAGATTATTTGAGATATTAAGAATTGTAACGGATGTGAAATATTAGGAATAGTTGCTTACCATGGATTTTACTCAATGAAGACAAACTGTTTTGATTTCCCAGCCATGAGTGTCACCTTGTTTACACTTGATAGAACTTCCTAAAACCTCACTACTAGGAAAGGAGCAATTTACAGAATCATAAGTTCTTTAGAATCAAAAGGGGAGTTAAAGAGGAGTTAATCAAACACCTAAAATGAAGAAATAAGGCAGTGAATGAGGTGAAGGAATGAGGATTAAATAAATTGAAGCACAGAAATTCAAGTATCTAGCTTGTGAATCACCACATCTGTGGATCACCACATTTCACAGATGCTGTCTTTCTATATTTTGATGTCCCTAAAATGTATAGTTTAGATGGTTTTTAATTATTTTTCCACCCGTAAATTTCATGTTTGTTTCCATGCTATTCATGAATTGTGCATCATTTGACTTTCTGCAGAGTTCCTGCCTATCCTGGTTCAATAATGAAAAGATAATGTGACAACTATTGCACTTAGAATCTTTTTCCAGGGCTTCCTATTACCGATTGGCATTGGAACAGCTAAATAACAACCCTGGGGCACTGGAAGCACTGGGCACTCCTCTAAACATACACTATCTCCAACTCATCGACAAGTACAACTTTGTGGACATTACAAATGCCCAGGTAAGGTGCTTTCTTTTGAACTTCAGACTAAGTGCCTCTTATTTGGTGAAAGAGGCTACCACCCAAAACCTAGCATGTTGGAGGACTCTGGAATAATATTTATTATGGGAAATCCACTAAGTAAAAGGTAATGGTAAAGGCCCTCCCGTTGATCGTCGATTTGCTCGAGCGGGCCCAGTAACGTCTCCATTTGGAGACTGTTGTTACTGTGTTTGGCATATCGAATACTCTCGGTAGCTTGCCGGGCTCTCCGAGAGTAAAAAAAAATATATATATATTTAATGTTCACACCTGGCAATGCTCAGAGGTTACTCCTGGCTTTTCACTAAGGAATTACTTCAGGCAGTGCTCAGGGAACCATATGGGATGCTGGGAATCGAATCAGGGTCGGCCATGTGCAAGGCAAACACCCTACCCGCTGTGCTATCGCTCTAGTCCCTAAGTAAAAATTTTTATTTACTTTTCTTCTTTTGGGGGTAATTGATGTGGCAAGGAATGTGATATTTGTACTCAGGTCCCCATCTTGAACTAATGGTTCTAGAAAAATGACCAGTGGTCCTTTGTTCCCACTTCTGCTTGGAAAGTACATCTACAGGCAATCAACAGCTCATTAAAATGGAACTAAGTCTTTCAACTTTAGTTTTAAAATGTATTTACATTGCTTTCATGGAATGCCAGTTGATTTTTCCAAGCTATATCATCTCCTTTTATAGTTCAGATAATAAAACTCAATTGAATTAAAGTGCATTTGTTCTTTTGTTTAACAAATACTTGGTGGATGTGGTATCAGAGAAATAGTTCAAAAGGCTGAGCACATGTCCCTGAGTACTGGCCAGGCTCAACACCTAAGCACAGAGGCAGGAGTATCTCCTGAGTACCACCCGGTATTACACACACACACACACACACACACACACACACACACACACACGTTTAAGTATATGCCATGTTAGATGAGAATAAGCTGTGTGGGAATACAGAAAAATACAGGAAATACTGAAGGCTCTTAGGGAGTTGTTTAAAACTCCAAATGAGAGGGTGAAACAAATGCTGTCATAGAGGTCCAGTAGGGAATGGTTAGCAGACTAGGCAGAAAGGTAAGGAAAAGGAACATCAGATGCAGTGTGACAGAAAGCACATGGTAGTGCTGGTGCCATTGTGAGCTCACGGAAGTGCAGGCTGCAGAGGAAGGTCTTAAAGGTGGAATGGGAGCACTGAACAAGAGGAAGCACTGTCCTGGAAAGTGATGATCTGACCTAGTTAATTTTTGGTTATTTTTATATTTATTAGTATTGTAGCTGTTATGTTTTTCACTTTTTCTTACTTATTTACAAAGTAAACCTTGGGGGCTGCTGCTGCGTGTGTGCTTTGGAGGTGAAAGTGTTACATTTTAAAAAAAAATCTGGTTTGGGGGCTGGAGTCATAGTATAGCAGGTAGGGTGTTTGCCTTGCATGTGACCGCCCTGGGTTTATCCCCATTTCGGGACAACCCCTGCTAGGAGTGATCCCTGAGTGCAGAGCCTCAGCAGCACTGTGTATATTTTTGTGTATGACACAAAAACAAAAAATTTGACTTTTAAAAGAAATGTAAAGTAATGAACTAAACAATAGTGGGGATAGGGGAGGGCAGTTGTGGCCCCACAGGTGTGCAGCGGGAACTCTGACCTGTTGCTGTGGCATGGAGAAGTGAGAGATGGATATCAAAGGGCTTTGGAATCAGCTGACTGGTATTTCAGTCTTCCATAGGCTAGGTAGCAGCTCTGTGTCAGGGCAGAGACCTTTGTCAAAGGTGTTGCTGGTTATACCCAGCATGTGTCAGTGAAAAGTGCTGGTGCCATTAAACAGGATAGGGAAGTTAGCCCCTAACCTTTGCCCTGTCACTGTGGCCACAAAAGTGCTCCCTGGGAAGTGCCTGGAGATGAGCTTTCCTGTTCTCAAGTTTTTCCTCTTTGCAAGGCTTTGTCTTAATTTTTCACTGAGAACTGAAGAATATTACATTCAGTATTCTAAACAGGAACATTAGCAAACACCTACCAACTGACTTGGAGGCTCTCAAGCTGTTTTTCTAGGCTTAGAGAATAACATCAGAGCACCATCCACCATACCAGTAACAAAGACCTAGCCAAGAACACCTCATCCTTCCCAAATGTGCCCCTGTATCACTCAAGTCAAAGAATATACCAATTTTCTAGTGTAGTTATGGGCTCTTAGTTCAGTTTTTTTTTCTTTTTATTCTTTCATTTTGAAGATTTCAAACATAGATAAAGGTAAATTTTTCTGAGCATTAATAGATGTGCTATTAATGTTCTATTAAGAACATTATCCTCAATTTGCTTTCTTCATGTACATTCTTTTGGTTCATGAATCCACCTTATTATTTTCAAATACTTAAGAACTCCACCTTTAAATGTGTAAAAAGATTTGTATCATTAACTAGAATTTATTGGGTTTTTTTTTTAGGTAAAATTTATAGGAGGCACAAATTCAAGTATGCTATTTGAGGAATTCTAACAAATGCATACAACTTTGCAACTCAAACTCCTCTCTGCCTTAATGAAAATTGTTTCTATCACCCTAGAGGCCCTTCGGTTTCTTTTCAGTTTCTCCCCTCTCACATTCTTCTGTCCTGATAGAAGCAATCAATGTGTGGATATTTTTCCCATTTGGTTTAGTCATGTAGTTCTGGAATATAGAATATGAAATCACACATTAAATGCTTACGGCTATTTATTACTTTTTTATGTTCAGATATGTTGTTGCGCATATCAGTAGTTTGTTCATTTTTAACAGTGAGCTTTTGAATCATAATTGTAAATATTTAGAGCATTGAGTTGAGCATATGAGATCTCCTTGCTAGATAGATGGACCCAACTAAATAATCATTTGTGTGGTAAATGTGGAGGGAGTCAGATGAAAATCAGGTGAATTCTTTAGCTATCCTTGAGTTAGAAAACCAGATTCTTTGGATAATCACCTGAATTTTATAAGATTGTCACTAGAAAGCATCATTTTGTTGTCTCTTGAGAGGTAAGCATCTCTACTAGACATCTTGTTTTATTCTGTAGTTGAAGATTCCTGTCTCTGGATCCAAGACAGAAGGCCATGTGTATGTTTCTTCATCCAGAGATGCCCCCTTTCAGAGGTATTGTGGGGAAATGGAAGAAATGAGAACCTTCCTATGGAAACAGCTCTGATTTCCATTTTTATTGGTAATTCTGTAAAAGAGTAATTACAGTTTTCAAAACTTGAAGCTAAAGCTTTATGGCCTGGGCTGCAAACCAATGCTTTGATTCCTATCCAGACATTTTATCCAGTGCATTTCCTCTTTTTATCCAGTGCATGTCCTCTTTTTATGCTTCTAAATTTAAAAAAAAAGAATTAAAAACGTTATAGTTGGGGAAGGGGAGGTATAGGCTGTAATCTGGAGACATTGGTGGAGGAAAGTTGACACTGGCATATCTGAAACTACTTGAACACTGTATGTCTAAAACTACTGTGAATAACTTTGTAAGTCACAGTGCCTTAATAAAGTTTTTCCAGAAATAAAGTTATAGTAGTTTGGATCTGTTATAACTTGATGCTATGTTACATTCTGTAACATGGTTACTTCCATCCTAGAAAGGAGTAAAAGCATGACTTCCACTTCTGGAATTATTCATCACATTCTTTACATAAGCAGTCCACTCCATAAGTTGGCTTCTTGTTTGATCAGCAATAGCTATAGTCACACACTTCTACCACAAGAAGCCTCTCGGAGATTTTTGCTCTTTAGCAAGAATGTGTTTTAATATCAAGAACAGAAGGAGCCAGGCAGTCAACCTCCATCTCCCCTGGGAGTCATTGACCTCTGAGTCTGAGATTAGTGGAGTTGCTGACTGGAGTCCTGCCCAGAATAGAAGGGCAGGAACTCTGTAAGTTAAGAAATGGGGAATCAGTCTTTGCTTTCCTTCCCTGATATTAGTTTTGCCTTGATAATAATACTGGTTAACAATGAGATCCCATAATAAAATCTTCAAACATTATGTGATCATAGCACTAACCTAAATTGTGTTTTAAAAATGTTAAGACATTGTTTCAAATAACTTTTTTCCCCCATGTCTTTTCCTCAGCATTTTATTAATTAGATTATATATACTTTGGGTTTCTATCAGGTGGCACCTTCAGGAGGTCTTCTTACAGCTCAAGGATGGTCAGCAGATTCCCATATTCAAGCTCAATGAAAAGAATGGTGGTGTAAAAAAACAAGAGTAAATAAAGGTTGTCAAAAGAGAGCTTTCACCAAGCATTGCGTCTGCTTATCAACATTTCATCTTCCTGTTAGTGAACCAGATTTCCAACCGTTAGTGGGGGAAGATTGTATGTGATAGCATTTCTTAATCCTGGTGTAATACTGATTTGATTGTAGTGTGTGTGTGTGTGTGTGTGTGTGTGTGTGTGTGTGCGCGCGTGCGCGCACGCGTGCGCACGCGTTTTCAGAAAGAGACTTTTACTATAAGTTCATAAGAATTTATTTGAAATTCCTCTGTAAAAGTAAAGCACAATACGCAGAATAAAAGAAATCCAATTAATAGTGTTTGTTGTTTTGGGCGGGATGGGGGAGGGGTTGGACCGCACTTGACTGCTTACTCCTGGCTCTGTGCCCAGGGGTCACTATTGACTGTGCTCAAGGAATCATATGTCGTGCTGAATATTGAACTGGGATCAACTTTATGCATGGCAACCACCTTGCCCTCTGTACACTCTCTGGCCCTGTTTGTTGATTTCTATGGTTTTTCTCTCTATACTCTCCATAGTTTTCAGCTCAATTTAGAACACTGAGGAAAAATAAGCACCCATGATTCTGTCCTTTTATTTGGAAGTTTGGAGGAGGGCTGCTTTCCAGCGATTTGGGGGTAACTGGGCAGGTGGTTCAAAGCAAGGTTGCTATGCAATCTGTACTAGGGACCCTCGCCAGCAGGGCTGTGTAAACATGGGCTTTTGAGATGGTGCTAGGAATAGAATTCACATTTGCCTTTTTACTGATTAGTGGCACTTAAATAATTTTCCATTGTTAATTCCTGTCATAGATTTTGAGTTTTCAAAGTATGCAGTAACAAGTATCAGAAGATTTCAGGCAGAATATCACTTTTCCTGTATGCACGCAGTCTGCCCTCCCTAGACTTTCATATTCAAGTACGTGATTACATTTAAGTCAGGGAGAAAATTATGGCAGGGAGTTTTAATAAGGGGTTTATACAAAATATTTTTATAGAAAGTATTTTATAAATTAGACCAGCAAGACATACCATTTACTAATAGCTCAAAGAAGGAAGCTTTTAAATATTAGTAATTTAAAATATATAAATGATGATAAGTTCAAATCACTTATCACTGAAGTCTGTGCTTGTTTACCCAAAAATCCCTTACCATGCTGGGTAGTAAGTTACTTCCAAATTTCAGCTAGATATCTAAATTAGAATAAGAATTATATAACATAATAAGGAAAGATATTCTTAAACTAAGTATCACATCACTCTTTGAAATTGAAAAGGCACTTGAGAAAAGTCATTGGTCACAGTGAGTTTTCTACTTTTTTAAAGTATATGTTCTCCATTGAAGACAGCTAAATTCATTACAAAATTAAAACCATTAAGTAAAATTTACTTTGAAAACTCTGGTGTATAAAATTGAATTTGGGAGTTTTTTGCTCAGCTGTTAATATTAAAGGTACTTTTAATTGCTTATTTTTGCTTTTTTAGGAAAAAACTACTCTTGCCACTCCTATTCAGTATAGTACTGTCATAGCAGTTAAGCAAGAAAAAGATACCAAAGGAATCAAGAGAGGAAAAGGGGAGGGAGGGAGAGAGAGAGCGAGAGCGAGAGAGAGAGAGAGAGAGAGAGAGAGAGATGCTTTCTGGAGGAGAGAGGGGAGATGGTGCAGAGAGGGCTCAGGATACAGCCAGTTAGTGAACAGCAGGACCTCTGGATTGCAGAGGCCAGATGCAGTCTGGGTTTGTCTCAGATGAGAATTACAAAATTTGAAATACATGCATGCTTTCCAGGAAGATACAGGTTGTGCTTTCCCTTGCATAGTTGGCAGCAGTGTGAAACTTGTCCTGTCGAGTTCACAGAGACAGTTTCTGGGGGTAGTGGTTCATGTGTACACTAGGAATGTAGTCTGGAGATATTATGCACTCATACCATCTCAGTATCAGCACTGAATACTGCCAGAGTCTTCTCTATATTTTAAACTTTTAAAGACCGTCATTTTGTCTGATGGATTTTATTGCATTCATATATGCATTTGATTACAATATTTGTACTTCCATCTTTGAAACTTGTCAAGGTAAAGGTGATAATTATCACTCCTGGTATCTGAACCTCATTTTACAGTAATTTTATGGTGACTAGTATGGTTTTGATGTTACATTTTATAAGTATTATTACTGTTGGTGATAACAGCTATTAGTGTGACAGTAAATTGAATTGTATTTTCTGGAGAAAATATTGGAGATATGGCCTCCAATATTTGAATGGTAACTCTTCGTGCACACACACACACCCTAGAAGAAAATGATAGAATATACTCTGAGTTCTTGAACCATTCCAGTTCCCATTCCCATAATCACCTTTAACTTAGACTCCTAGCTTTAAGCCACTCAGCTTATATTGTTACAAAAGCCCAGTAAACTCATACTGAGGGTGTATGATAGTAAAAGCCCACATTCTACACACTATCAGTTCCTAGGATGGCATTAGGTGATGGGTCAGAAACATCTCGAGAGAAATTCTTTAAGTCCATGCATCCTGGTACAGCATAGTGACACTTATGAAGTGAAGCACAGTTTGGAGCTCCAGAAGGCATATGCAAAGTTGTTACAAAAGGTATGCTTTTTAATGGACATGTACACACAGTGATTATTTTGTTTATATCTCAGTCTATTAATAAATACCTGGGATGAGTTTCCTATAGGCATTTCTTCCTTCTCAGTTATGCCATTGGAGTAGATCTAGTTACAAGATCTTACTACAATAGCATATGGCCATCAGGAAATTTTTGTGAAAATGAGTTTTTTTTTCCTTATATGACATGGGAATTCCATAGCACACTAGGCCACAGTTTGTAAGGAGAGAGAGATGAAGAGGGAGAGTCGGTGTATGTGCTTTTACAGGGATTGACAGTGGAGACAGATTGGGATTTTCAGGTTCTTTATTAGTGAATTTAAACTATTAGACTGGGAATTGAATGGGTTTTGTGGCCATGCAGGGCAGTGCTCTGGGCTTACTCCTGGCAGTGCTCTGGGCACCATATGCCATGCCAGGGATAGAAGTCAGCTATTTGTAGGGCAAGTGTCTCAGTCCCTGTGCTCTCACTCTAGAGAAGGAATTTAAAGTACAGAGACAAAAGAAGGAAAAAAGTCAAGTGCACTCCAACTAACCAGTTTTATAAATCAACCAGGACTTGTAAAAGGAAGAATCAATGGTATCTTTGTGAGGAGGCACTCAGGCTGATTCTTAAGTTCTGTGACTGGCAATGTGTTTGTCGGGGACAGTCCCTTCGAGATGGATTCCTAGGCAACAAAACTTAAGTCAGGCCTTTCATTACAAAATGTCAGAAGTATGTACCATGATGTTCTTCGGCTTTGTTTTGTTTTTTTCTCTCATAATGCTTTCTGATACATACTTTTTCTGGGTTTTATCATAGCAGCTGCTAGTATTTGGAGTTGTTTTGCTTATAAACAGTGAGAGTAGAGGCATCATACACATTGTTATGCATTAGCCTAGACTTTGTTTGCAATAAGAACACACACAATGCCATACCAAAATGAATTTATTGACATTCCTTGGAGATGATACGATGGAAAAGAAGTCTGGGCCTGAGTATCACATATTATTTTTCTTGTAATTGTAAGCAAAATCAGCCCAAGAATGGACTTATCCTGATAATGACTAAAACAAAGACTTTAAGCAAAATTGTTATAGACATTTCCATAGATAAGTTGGAAGCTGCAGGAAGTAGGCTAATGGAACAATATTTACTCTATATGCTACCTCTAGGCACCTTTTTTTATTTCCTACTAGAATACGGGACTACATGTCACTAACAGGAAAATAACACTTTATCTTTTGGACCTTGTGATGGCTGGAACATCCATCCCAGATTTTAATGATAGTATTGCCATTGTTTAAATAGTCGACAGTGAAATGATAATAATACTAGTAATAATAATAATAATAATAATAATGAAGCACCACATTTGTTATGTAACATTCTAACTACTTTCATTTGAAAGTGTTTCATCTTGACTGAGAAAACATCTGTGGGAACTGAGAAATTTTCTGAACCCAAATTTTGGATGCAGGGTTTGACAAATGGACCTACAATGTGAAAGATGAAGTGTTAAAACAGTCTGGAAAGTCCTGCACATTGGTCTGCCACACAAATATTTATGCTCGCTGTGAAATGATAGCGTCACGTATTGGAAGAGAAAAATATTTATATTTTTGCGTATTTAAGGCCTGTCAAAATTCTTCATATTGCTTTTTCTTAATTTTATAACTGTCCAAACAACTGTGCTAAAATAATAATGGCATAAAATTTATTTCACGAGCACTGCAAACTAAAAATAGGAAATTACAAAGAACTCACTTGAATATTTTAAGATTATTAACTTTAAATGATAGAACAAGATAGGATCCATGAAATTTTTATGGTACTTTATATGAACTCTTGAATTGAAATGTAAGTTTCCCCTTATTTTTTGATTTTGCTGCCCTCCAATTAAGGCTAATGCACACTTAATTAAACTACCTCTAAAATATCTTCTTTTGAAGAAATTGTGGTTTATAGGGATTGATTTTACAATTTGTCTTTATGGTGAAAACTAGTACTTTAGGGGGAAAATCACAACTAGACTGGCATTAAATTATATGATTTGGGATGGTTTACACCTCAATCTGGTGAAATTGATAGCATAATTTAACCATACAGCTGTTTTGTTAGACACATAATGAAACAATTTTAAAATTACCCATACATATGAGGAAATAGTAACCAAAGAAACATAATTTAGGACCTAGGGAAATAAAAGGATCTTTCCCTAATACATTTTTAAACTTATTTTTGCTTTTTCTACAAGTCTGCATAGAGTCTGAAACTGGTTAAGCAAGCTTTGAATTCTTTTAGATGACCAAGACACAAGTGTATCTTTTCAGAAATTTAATTTTTTATAAAATTCTGTTCCTGTAAAGCTTTGTGGAATAGATCTAGAACCATGGCATTGAGGGGAACTAAGGAAAGTTTAGTTTATAATTCGTGTACGGCCAGAAAGGTAACTCAAGTAGAAGAGCACCTGCCTAGCATGTGTGAGGCCCTGAGTTCAATCCCCAGAACCTTATGGACCCCTCAAGCACCACAATGTGTAGCCTAGGTGGCCCCTAAGCACCTCTGGGGTGGCTCCCAAGCACCGCCGGGCCTGAGCACCAGACTGTCAGGCCTGCACTGCAGGCAGAAAATTCCCAGGAGAGGCTGCCCCACATCCCAGCACAGCTGGGAATGACCCCATTTAAAAAATTTGTGTCCAAATTATCCTACAATTTCTAGGATATTTTGATTTTTTTTCTGTATATGGGTGGATTAGGCATTAGATTGATATCTAATCAGATAAATTTATTATATAAATTGTAAAGCTACCTAGGAGTAGTTTGCACTTTTTGAACAGCTTTCTCCCTTGTCAGTGTCTAATAAATAATACATTTTTAAAGGAATTAAATGCTTAAATTAATAATTATTTACATACACACAACACCAAGTTCTAAAAGTAAAATGGCGCTTCTATACTGAAGATGCTATTCAGAGTTAGAATGATGAGATGATTTGCATAATTTTGATGTTATGATTTTATAAGAGTTCCATGGGAAATTCGTTAACTTTTAAAAATATACACTGAATTTACAGATTCCTCAAGCCCTATATTATCTAATATTAACATTTTACTATCTTTATTAATATTTATTTTAGCCCAAAAAATGAGACACTAACTTTCCATAGCATGTGTATTCCCTGACTAATAGCAGAAGCAGAGCAGCAGGTCGGGATGCTGGGGATTGTAAAGAATTTCAACAAAAGAACATTTCCTCTTGTAGTGCAGGGAACATAACAAATGCACTCTCCAGACACAAACTGATGAAATGAACACACAAAGTATGGCCTCATATAAAGTTAGCTTCATCTTACATGCTTCAAATTTCTTCCTTTTAAACTTACTGAAAACAATGTGACATATCAACAGAGGGGCCCTTTTAGCTCTTTTCCCAGTGAAGAAAACACTTTCATTCGTGACATATTTCAGACAACATGGGTATCAAGGTTAGGAAAATATCAAATGACCATTACTTTGGATCTTATTCCAAACGTATTCAAGAGGCTGGGCTGCCTTTGGAGCCTACAGCTTTTTTTTTTTAACGCTATGTTTTATGAGAATGTTGAATGCTAAAAGAGAATGGGCATTTTAACACAAATCAAAATGGTTTTGGGGTGTTAACTCTCTGCTTCAGGAAAACTGCTCTGAATTAAGCAGAAGTATTATATTGCCCTTGATCCCTAACAAGCACCATCACTCTCTGCAGCTCCTTAGTGGATATGAAGGAACTTGAAATCATGATTATGAAAAACAAAAACAAACGACAGCATAAAAAATCACCAAATGAAGGTTGGTTTGTTTGCCAAGCAAGTAATTACCTGGCTTTAACAAACATCGATATTATTTATATACAATTTTTCTCCTTTTGAAGGAGAACTACTAGGGTAAACAAAGCAAAGTAAAACAAAACAGTGCAGAACTCAAGCTATTCAACCGAACACATCTTTCCACTTCTGGTTGCTTCATACTATACGCAACACAATGGGAATGGAGCCTTGCTTATGCTACACAGTGAGACACTCCTTCTTAGACCTGTGAATGAGTTTGTGCTTCTCGTGTGGCGCATGCTCATGAAGGCGCGCTCCCTGTTCTAGACTTCTCAGAATTTAAACTGAGCCGCACTCTCCACAACCATTGGTATGCACTGTGCTGCCTTAGCAAGCAGTGTTTTTCTTCTTGTTATTATTTGTTGGAAAGTACTTTTTTGCACCATATGTCTAGGCTAGTTCCACAAATGACTCATGAAATGTATAAAACTTTTGGTTTTGCACTGATGTTTTTGGATGGATGGTGTACACAGGGTGGAAGGAAAATCAAAAGTTCATCAGCTCCTAGTTCTGGAGTTGGTCATTGAAAATTATGAAAAATGGTGGTTCTGCTAAGAAGATATAGGTATATAAAAGCTTGAAATGCTTAATGTCCAAATTTTCTTTGAAACCATATAAATGGAAGTAAACATTTATTACCATTTGGTCAAGTGTCACATAACTTGCATTCATATTTCACTGTTAATTATGGAGGTATGTGGAGATACACACAGACCTGGAGACAGCTGCTTTTTAAAATATTGCATACGGACTAGCAGTTCACTGAAAATAGAAGCCTGAAGGCTAGATCTTAGAAGGCAGTTCTTCATGCACAGCTTTTGTCAATCATAATTTTGTTTGGAAATAAAAATCATGGAATATCAAAATCAAAGGAGAGTTGAAAGGGGAAGGAGATTCATCCCAGAAAAGGGTCATGTCACTGGCCCGGAAAACGTCAGTTGAATTTTCTTTTCCTCATTCAAGTCCAAAGGTGCTGGTTTCTTCTACTGCTGTTAACAACTTTTCATACAACATGGAGTACGAGGGATAAGATGGAAGATCCAATCGATTGAAGCATGTGTGTGCCCTGAATGGGGGAAAAAAGACTGGTAAAGGTGTTTGTTTTAATTATACAGCTGGTTTGGATTTTTTTTTTTTTTGGATCAGTCTGAAGATGTGAATCAGAAGTGAACTGAGGGACAGAAGGTAGCTCAATGGGCTGAATGTATACAGAAGACCCAGGTTCAATCCCTGGAACTGCATGGTCTTTCAGATATTGCCAAGAGCGATCCCAAAAACAAAGCCAGAAGCAGCCCCCCAGCACCACCAGATGTGGCCCAAAAAGAAAAATTTTAACGTGCACCAAAATGAGCAAAACAAAAATTTAGGACCACCATAAAACATTGCAAACTAATAACAATAACCCTTTATACACAAATAGACCAGTTAAAGGATTGGGATAACTAAAAAATATGGTTTGCATTTGTAAGGAAACCACAACACACAAGAACTACAATAGCAAACCAGTGATGAGCTCTGTGTTATTCAGCTTTATTTTGCAATTGAGAGAGAAACTTGGATGTACTCAGCAAAAGAGGAGAAGTAGAATTAGTATTAAAAGGTCATATTCCCAAGTCTACTCGCTTAGTTCTGATTTCTGGATCCATATAGACCAGGTGGCAGTAGATACCCTGGTACTTCATCCAATGCTCTGTCGAATCAGGTGTGCCCTAGATATAGTATGACCCACATCCAGCAATGCAGTGAGATGTGTGGGTATAAGAGAGTGTGATCACTTAAGGACACTCCTGATGACTTTAGCCCCACTGCTGCGAACTGGAAAGTTCTGTGTTTAGCTGAGAGATTTTTATGTGTTATGGATGCTTACTGCTGTACTAAACTAGGGAGAAAGGTGAAAGGGTACAGAAGACATTGGTCTAGGCATAAGTTTAATGCCTTTTCCTCCCTAAAATGATCTTTGTATTGAAACTCTGTTTTGAGAAACTAAACAGCACAGAAAAGGGTGATAAGATAGAATAAAATACAAATCTAACATAAAATAATGAAATAAAATGTAACACAAAACAAAACAATGATTGGAAAATGCTCTCTTTGTCAGAATTTAATTTAGGATATTAAATTCTTCTTTAATTACAATATATCCAGGAAAGTTTTGGGTTATTAACACATTTGTTTTTGGAGTCCCATATGGTACGGCACTCAAGGAATGGGAAGGTTGGAAAAGAGGAGAGGATATGTGAGCTTTCCACACAGGGAGAATTTGGGAAATGTGCCACAATTTTTTTGCCTCCCAGCATCCATGTGTCCTTCTCCTAACAGCTTCCTCACATCTTGTGAAACTATCAGCTAGGTTCCTTTCCCTTCTATGCTTAAAGACCAGTAGGATATCTGGCCTTCAGACTTAGGACTTAAATGGGAATTCATATAAAAACAGATTAACAGAGGTCTTAGATTTTTTATCTAAGATTCAAATAAGCCTATGCTAAATTCAAAATAATCTAATTAAAATATTTTATCTCAACATTTGAGTACAAATAGAAGAGGAGATAGTAAGTCAAGTTGGGCCTCCAAATAATGATCCCTCCCTATGTTTATAAGTATTGAAACTAGGTCATATCCTTGGCAAGTTAATAGGGGTAAAAAAGCTAAGTGTACTTCTGAAACTGATTGAATAAGTCAAGAGTGAAATGAACAGACATAACCTTCTTGTTTCCTATTTCAGGTCATTTTAACTGGCACATATAAGTGGGAAAATTTATAGCAAAATTTCATAAACTGGAAACATTTGCAAATTGCACCTCTTAAAAACTGTCTAAACAGAGTTTCTTCAGGAGTTGATTTTTCTTCATTCATCTACATCCCTGTTAACTATCTTAAATAAACTTCACTTTGTAATCTGGAACAAATGAACAACTCCAAATAACACTCAATATTTCTAGGTGCTTGGTCTTCCACTTGGTATGCACAGTATGTGCGCGTGCACACACACACGCGCGCGCACACACACACACACACACACACAGAGCTCCTGCTTAGCTCCCTGCATATATATATATAGAACCCACTATTCCTTAGTGCAGTAAGGTTAAATAAAGCATTGGAACCACTAACTTTACTATCTTGGGAAATTCAGTTTAATCTTCTGAACCTTATAAAGTTTTATCACCTGTATGAGACCAGAGTTACCAGTAAAGTTTTATCACTTGTATGAGATCAATATGGCAGGTAGGGTGCTTGCTTGTCCTGCATACTGTTGACTTGGGTTGGATGTTGCCTGAGCCCCACCAGGACTGATCACTGAGCGCAGGGTCAGGAATAAGTCCTGAGAACCACTAAGTGTTGCATAAAAAAAAATTTATCACTTATGAAAGAGTATAGTAATCCATGCTCTGTGTACCTGAAGAGATTACTGTGAGGATCAGTGGTACAGTTTATATAAACACCTTTCATAAACTATGAACCATCATTTGATATGAACATGTGAGAATCACTTTGTAGGTCAACTGCAGTTGCAATAATAACTTTTAGGGACTGTGTCCAATTTGTAGGGACTTCAGACACTCAGTTGTTTTCACAGGAACTACTACTGACAAATTAATCACCCTTATTTCATATTTACATAATTGCAATTTTGGTACTTCACAGCACGTCCTTTTCAGTCATGCTAGGTCAATTTCACTCTTCTGGTTTTTTTAGGTTCCAGTATTTTAAGATGATTTTGAAATTGGGTTTTGTCCCTCATTCTATTAAAGTTTACCTTCTTATTTGCGTCATCTTACACATTTGGTCTTCCTGTCTTCATAAATGTTTTTTAAAATTGTAATCAACTCAGAGTCAAAGAGAGCTTTGCTCTTCAACAGAGATCATTTTCTAGTAAAGTTCAAGGAAGGAGCCTCAATCACTTCTGTCGTTCTGAGAATAGTTACACAAGCTGTACACAAGCCTTAATGTACACAGCCAGTTGCGATATCAGTCACACAAGCCTTAATGTCATCTCACTTTTTTTTTACTATAGCCTCATTATCCAGTTTTCTTCTCTTGTAACTGTAGAATCTATTCTTTTCCAAATATCTCAATAACCTCTTGATCCCCAGATCCAGATGTCCATTCTCCACCACTACTTCTTTTCTTTTCTTTTTGGTGGGAATGGTTGGGAGGGGGTTGGGACATACATGGCAGTGCTCAGGTCTTACACCTGGATCTGTGCTCAGAGATCACTCAGGGCTTGGGAGACCATATAGGGTACTGGGGATTGAACCCGGCTTGGCTGTGTGTAAGGCAAACCCCCTGCCTGCTGTACTACCACTCTGGCTCTCTCTACCAGCAGTTCTTCAAAAGCATTGGGAAGCTCTAGCATCTTTCTTCAGGACTTCTCTATGATTTCTCAGTGACTGCCAGTATTGTCTCAAAATTCCCAAGTGCTACTGCCTGCCTTCTAATAAGCCATATATCTTACAACTCTGATTTTTACCTCAGCACTATTAACATTCAAATTTCATAAGAACTTGGTATTTCTTCCTTAGGAAGAGCTTATTGATTAAAAATGTCCTAATCTTTGTAGTCTTTAGCAGCAACCCACTAGAAGTCAGTAGCACCCTTTCCCAACAGTTAAAAAATGTTTATAGACATTGTGAAAAAATCTCTGGTAGAAAATTATCTTCCCTAAACCCCTTAAGAACACTTACTATAAGCTATATCCAACTATTATTTTAACTAGGACTCCAACTCCATCCTGGGCTTGGGCACAGTTTAATCTGAGTTGACGTGTATATCTTAGAAGGCTATTCATATTATATAGGTCAGTTATCTGCCTATGACTCATAATTCTGTTATCTCTGATCCCTATCCCAAGTGTAAACCCTCTAAGTTCTTATTCTATCATCATAATCTTTTTCTGATTCTGTCTTCATAATTCCTTGTAATGACTAGCTTCTACTTTTTTCTTCCCAGATATTCCCTATTCTCTCTCCAACTGTTGTTCATAGTAAGGGAACTGTCTTAATGCTCTTCTTATCATGGAGATGGCCATTATTCATCCTGACACATGCTCTGAGGAGGATAATCAGTCCTGCAGTCTTCTTTTTCCACTGCTATTCTAGATCTTCAGGTTTCAATCTTTGAATGAAAATTTCTGTTCCTTTTAATCTCATATCATTTAGAGAATTTTTCCTAAACTTCAGATTTTCTATGATATTTTACTGCCCCCAAATATGAAAAAGTAGAAAATAATTTGTTACCTGCAGGTAAGAAGGGCTAAGTTGTTTTGCAGAACTTGTTTCAGATATGCATATAGGTGGGCTGGAGCGATAGCACAGCAGGTAGGGTGTTTGCCTTGCATGCGGCCACCATGGCCGATCCGAGTTTGATTCCTCCGCCCCTCTCGGAGAGCCTGGCAAGCTACAGAGAATATCTCGCCCACACGGCAGAGCCTGGCAAGCTCCCTATGGTGTATTCAATATGCCAAACACATTTACAAGTCTCACAATGTTACTGGGCCCGCTTGAGCAAATCGATGAACAATGGGAGAGCAGTGACAGTGACAGTGATGCATATAGGTATATATGCATTTATTGCTTTGAGACACAAAGACATGACTTACTCTGGATTTTAAAATCTTAAAATTCAGCGGATATAGAAGTAGTAAAAGGATAAGGCAGTTGCCTTACATGCAGCCGATTCCATATGGTCTCCCAAGCACTGATAGGAGTAACCCTCAAGAAAAAAACAGGAATATGCCCTAAACACATTTGGTGTTGCTTAAATATCTCCCTTTTAAAAAGCTAGAAATTCATTAATCTATGTAGATCTTCTATGTCTTCTGATATTTTTTGCTAATTATATTTGTTGAAATCTCTAGTAATTATCATAAATTCTTTCCACTATAGGCACCATATTATGTAAAATCCATGTCCATGTGGATGACCTGTTGAATGCCCCAGCTCCTTGACTTCAATCCCAGTGACCATTCTACACTCTATCTATGATGGTTTATCAACTGAGACAGAAAATTTTATCCTGGAACCTCCTATTCTCAAAGTCCTTTTTACCTACTTCTAATAATTTTATAACGTTAAGACCTCAATAAAAACTGAAATGACATTAGTTGGCACTTTACACTAAGAAGCCGGTTGCTTTCTGCAGAGGGATGTTCTGAAGACAGGCAGCTTCAGACTGTCTCCTTTGATCATAGATACTGTGCACAGAGAGCCCAGAGTCTCTGGGAAGATCTAAGTCATCCAAGGTGCCTGGTACTCCTGCCAGTTTTGTGAATTCCTGTTACCTCCCAGAACTACCTTTGTCCTTGGAAGTCAGCTATAACAGCTGGTGTTACTTCTTGTCATTTTCACTGTCCTCTAAAGGTCTTGCAAATTATCTCAAGGCAAATTTTCCCATTCAAAAAAAAAAAAAACCCTTTCTACCACTTCACAGAAAAGCCTTTCTAGCATTGGCATTCACATTTGCAGAGTAGTAGCCTCTTTGGGCACAACTGTGTTTTGGCCCTGATATGAAGAACTTGTTCATAACCTCAATGTTTACAAGCTCTCTGTATATTATTAGTATTAAAGTGCATTTTTTTAGATTGAATATGTAAAGCTCAATCTGCAATTACTTATGAAAGAAGCAATGACTTCTACTACCTAAAAGTAACAAATTACTCAACTTGCTTTTTCTACACAATCTATCAAGCTATTTTTCAATTTCTTCCTCAAGTGTAGCTTTAGATTGTTTTGGCACTGCTTCTTGAACATGTACTGGCCATTCCCTCGTCCCAGACCTTGCTCATGCTGCTTCTGAAAAGACTCTCCCCTCCTCTCTTCCTTATACCTCAATACTCAAAGAATACTAGCCTCTTTACTTGATCAGAATTGTTCTCAAACTACTTGTTTCCCATATTTTGTTGTCATGCACTGTACAAATAATTTCTATCAGGTTATATTATTTACTGTATTGTACGGGTCTCTGTACATGTGCATAGTTGTATTCCAGTCACTCCTCAAGACACACATTAGAAGAGTAAGCTGTCATGAAACACACATATCTAAAAGAAGTACAGAATGTTTCCAACAGACTTCATTCTCCTCATTCTCCAAACAAGACAAATGGAAATTGGACTTTTGAAGGGTTTTGTTTGTTTGGAGATTGTACTGGCCATTTCTCTGGGCTTATTCCTGGATCTGTGCTCAGGGATCACTTCTGACAGGGCTTGGGGGAACATATGGGGATCTGGGGATTAGACTCGGGTTGGATAATGCAAGGCAAGTGCCCTGTTCACTGTACTATCAGTCCGGAAATTGGTCTTTTAATATCTTCTTGTCATACTTAATTTACTAAAGTCAGTAAACCATGCAAATACAGACTGAGGTTTTTTTGAACTAAAAGGGTAAAGTCAGAGCTGAAAATTACACTAAAATTTTAGACTGTCATTAACCAACTGACAACACTCTGTTTCTTGGGTGTTTCAATTCTCACTGAAATCAGGTGAATTGTTTCATGACACTGAAAATCTAGGAAAGCTAGATGGAAAAATTATAGTTCAGTAAGTAATGATTTCAGAGTAGGTACTTAGTAAAGGTATCTGAGAGGTCATGTGCAAACAGAGATGCATTTGAATTATAAATATAGAGTGAATTTATAATTAGAAAATATATTGATATAATAAAATAATATGGCTTAACGTTTTCTTTTGTTTGTTCAACAGTATTTGCTACTATTCTTACTATACAGAAGTATCCCTATAGTGCTTCTATTTAAAAGATTTGAAATAGAATATCTAAGTGTCCTTGAAAGGACGCAGAAAATTTGGGGATTAAAACTCACAGCACAGGAAATTCATGTTGGTAAATGCCTGAATCCTGAGTGTTCATTATTTGCAATTATCTCAAAATAATTTTTTATCATTGTGAAATAAATATAGGGTCATCTTGAAGGCCTAATATACATGGAGTCTCATCTCAGGTATTTTAAAACAATATGAAAATACAGTTTTTTAATTCATAACTAACATATGAAGTATCAAATAATATGCTGTTAAAGATGCAGTGCTGGAAGTTTACTTTGGGTTTCCAGCCTCTTTGCAATGATGTCCCTGCTTCTTACTTCTAGGTAAATATTTGTATTTCAATTAAATCGGGCTTTGTATAATTGGGAAAGTTTCATACTATGACCCAAAACTATGATATTAGGGCCCAAACACTATCAATGCATTTAAACAATAACTTATGATATCTAAAATAATATCCCAGAGTTTTCTCACTTATACTTTATACTAACAACTCATATAATAATATTTTGGTAGTAGAAAAGAATTTTATCCCAAAGAATAATCACTCAAGCTCAAATAACAAAGTATACTTGGCCCTCTTCAGTGAGTTTCTTGAAGATTGGCAGGAGCTTCGTATGTACCTGGGGAGAGATGTAATTTTCCCCCATTTTTCTATGCAGAAACGCCTAAGCCCATTGCTTCCTCGAAGAGCTGCAAAGCCTTCATATGGTACACTGGATGTTCCGGTGACGAACTGAAGTAATCTTAGTCTTTGCTCATTATTGAAGCGCTCCACTGCAGCCCAGAACCAGCGGATCACAAGATGACCATCATGATAACCTGATATGGAGAAAATGGAAAGATAAAGAGGATATAGAAAGAGGAGTGGAGAGGAAATGGAGAGAAATAAAATACATCAGAACTAAATAGCTGCTTTGTACCTGTTGATTTATATAACTGCATTTGAATAGGTATAAAACAATTTGTGAAACTAGGTCAAATTTTAAAATGTCTCATTTATAAAAGTTATTTTATGTTATTTTGTAATTTATATTATATTTTATATTAAAAGATTTTATGCTTTTAGTATATTTAAATACTAAATATTTTAGTATATTTGCGACCACATGACACATCATAAGACATTCTCTACTCATTTTCCATAATTACCACACCATATTTGATGGGGTTCAGACAGTAGGCAACAAATCACTGTCCTCCCATTGTTCATCAATTTTTGCTCGAGCGGGCCCAGTAAAGGTAAAGGTAAAGGCCCTCCCGTTGATCGTCGATTTGCTCGAGCGGGCCCAGTAATGTCTCCATTTTGAGACTTGTTGTTACTGTGTTTGGCATATCGAATATGTCACGAGGAGCTTGCCAGGCTTTGCTGTGCAGGTGAGATAGTCTCGGTAGCTTGCCGGGCTCTCCGAGAGGGGCGGAGGAATCGAACCCGGCTCAGCCGGGCTGGCTGCGCACAAGGCAAATGCCCTACCACTGTGCTATCGCTCCAGCCCACAAATCACACAGATACACTATTGCAACACAAAAGCAGTATGACGTTTCAGTACCCACTATTTTCACTGAACAGATCAATCAGACAGAACATCACTGTCACTGTCACTGTCCTCCCGTTGTTCATCGATTTGCTTGAGGGGGCCAGTAACATCTCCATTGTGAGACTTGTTGTTACCGTGTTTGGGATATTGAATACGTCATGGGTAGCTTGCCAGGCTTTGCTGTGCAGACGAGATACTCTCGGTAGCTTGCCAGGCTTTGCTGTGCAGAAGAGATACTCTCGGTAGCTTGCCAGGCTCTGAGAGGGGTGGAGGAATAGAACCGGCTTGGCTGGGCTGGCCACATAAGGCAAAAGCCCCAGGGCTGGAGCCATAACTCTAAACATCATGTTTAAACTCTAAACATCAATGATAACTCTAAACATTAATTTAAAAAAAGCGTTAAGTAAAGAATTGGAAGAACTGAGTCTAATAGACATGTTTGGGATTCTCATCCCCAAACATCTGGTTTTTGTTTGTTTGGGGGCTAAACCCAGTGGTATTCAGGGCTTACTCCTGGCTCTGTGTTCAAGAATCACCCTTGGTGAGGATTTGGGGGTGATACCCACTGCCTAGAATTGAATTGAGCTCGGGCTCCACCCCCCAAATTTAGAATGTTATCTAGAACAAATAATATACTGGAACACAATTATTATATCTATAAAGTCACAAAAATAGAAATCATATCAAGTGTCCTTACAGTTCATGAATCCATACAAGCAGAAATCAATCATAAAAAGAAAGTTGGGAAAAACTCAAATATTTGTAAACAAACAGAATTTTGTTAAATGACAGTTTGGTGAAATATGGAGTAAAATAATAAAATGATTCCTCAAAATGAGTGAGAATGAAAACACAAACTATCAGAAACTATGGGAAAGAGCAGTGCTATGGTTGGTGGTCAAAACACTACAAGATTGCATTAAGACAAAAGAAAAATTACAAATCAATGACCTAACCTCACAGATTGAAAAACACCAAAGATTATAAATACAGAACTGGAAATGATTATGAATTACTAATATGAGTTGCATAAATAGCTCTATGCCACTAAGTTAGAAAATGATGAAATAAATGAATAAATTCTTATAGCCTTACAATTTCCCAATATTGAATCAAGAGGAAATGAAAAACCTGAGTACACCATAACAAGTATGAAAATTAAAACAGTGATTAAAAATCTTCCCAAAAACAAAAGTCCTGGTACAAACAGTTTCACTAGTTAGTTCCACCAAAACTTCAAAGACGACTTAACAATGTACTACACAAACTTTTTCAAAATATCAAAGAGAGGGAATGCTTCACAGTTTTTTTATCCCAATAAAAAGATTTAAAAAAAAACATACAGATATTACTAAAAAAAAAAAAAAAACAGGGACCAATATCCCTGCTGAATATCCATTAAAGTAAAGTAAGTAAGTAAAGGCCCTCCCGTTAATCGTCGATTTGCTCGAGCGGGCCCAGTAACGTCTCCATTGGAGACTTTGTTGTTACTGTGTCTGGCATATCGAATACTCTCGGTAGCTTGCCGGGCTCTCCGAGAGGGGCGGAGGAATCGAACTCGGGGCGGCCATGTTGGCCGCTTGTAAGGCAAATGCCTTACCACTGTGCTATCACTCCAGCCACAAATATCCATTAATGATCAACAAAATCTCACATTTAAGAAAATTAAGCACCGTGATGCATCAAACTGACAAAAACAGAATTTTAGGTATACAATTTTTCCAACTCTATCTGATTAGCAGTGTCAGCACCTTTCTATCCATGTTCCACCAACCCCACCACACCCCAGCCCGTTCTTATTAAATGGCACATTTTAAGTTAAATTATTATAGTTTGGTTTCCTTGCATATAGACATATTGGTTCTGGTGGTTTTGATATATACCAATACCTGGTACATCAATTCCTCTGAATACCCATGTGTCTGAGGCACCTTATCCTTGCCCCTTTATTACCTTCAAATGGTCTCATTAATCTCTCCTCTATTTCTTGCCTTCCTTGATATTTTTACTTTTGTAATCTAGGGCCAGTGGTTTAGCCATCTTTGATATCTTCCATTCAATTGTCATATTAGCCTATAAATTACAGATTCCTGATAACATTTGGTATCTGTCCTTGACCTTTTGACTCACTTCAATTAATATCATATCCTCCAATTCTTTTGAAAGTGGTAACTATTTAGTTACTACCTGGACAATACAGTGAACGAGACCATTCTTCTTATCTGTGATTTTTGTCTATATAATTTAATAATTGTTTACTGTGAATGTAATCTATTAATTTACCTTACATTGTAACTAAAGGTTCCTCGGGTCTACATGACTTGTCTTATCTTTCGTTAAACAGACTTTAACTTTTAACAGTTTTGGGGAGACAACTGTGCACCTGAATGTTTGCCTTCACTTTTCTCAACCTAAGCACATTAGTTGTGTTGCTTAATGTCTCTAAGTTTCAACTTCTCATCTGTAACATCTGTAAAACTGTGGATACTAGTGACTATATGATTATTAAAATAACTGATATGTTTTTACATATTGGTCATATCTTTTGTCTTCCTTTTTTTCATTAGGTATCTAGTAATATGTTTGTGGAGGGTCTTAGGCAGTTTATTTAATATAGTATTTATTTGAAAACAGTAAATAAGAAAAGAAGACATAGCCTGAAACAAAGGAAAAGAAGTGCTGGAAGCCCTGCTAGCTTACCTCCCCGGTACTCAGTGTTATTCCTCCAGTCATTGAGGTCGATTTCTGCTGTACCAGCTATAACCAGCTCAAGCTCCCTGGCATCGAACACAGATACAAGCCTGGCATCTACAACCTGAAATACCGATTAGGCTTCAATACAGGTTCTATCATATCAAAAATTTGTATCTATTATTATTTATGTAACTTACATTAGGGAAATTACCATCACTTACGTTAAAATGAGGATACTTAGGTAAAACGGTAAATCATTTGTGTTAGAACTTCACCCAGATTTTATAAAAATCTAATTGCAGGTTTAATCTCTCCCAAAAGTTTAATCTCAAACTAATCAGTCTGCAGTTTCCTGATCAGCACACTGAGGTAATCTTCGTGATAAAACCCCTCTTCTCCCTACCACACATCCCCACACCACCCCCCCCACTCCTACCTTCCAATAAGAGAAGGTAGTTTACCTAAAATGAACCTTTCTTTTTGTTAATAACCTAGTGAAACTCTCATACTATAAAATGTCTCCATGTTGTGCAAGTCTTTACCTTTCTGCCTGCTAGACAGGATGCTGCCCTATTTCATGAATCTTGTCTCAAAGCCAATTAGCTATAACATTCTCTAATGCTCTCACTTATTTTTTTTCATTGAATGAAAGGAAAATTCCATATTAATAGGAGATGATGAATGTTTCCACATCTAGTGCACCATGGTCAAATGAACATAAATTTATATGAAAATAAAAAGAACACTTTTTACCTGTCACAGTACTGGGACTCCCAGAAAACTGCACTGCACTGTCCTCCCGTTGTTCATCGATTTGCTCGAGCGGGCCCAGTAACGTCTCCATTTTGAGAATTGTTGTTACTGTGTTTGGCATATGGAATACATCACGGGTAGCTTGATAGGGTTGGCCGTGCGGGCGAGATACTCTGGGTAGCTTGCCAGGCTCTCCCAGAGGGGTGGAGGAATTGAGCCGGGCTCAGTCGGGCTGGCTGCGTGTAAAGCAAGCGCCCTACCGCTGTGCTATTGCTCCAGCCTCCCCCAGAAAACTATGACCTCTTAACATCCTAAGTAGGTGCCTTCTTTTGTATTCTGGTGATTGGAGCTGAGTCCTCTGTCTGAGACACTCTATGGATGAAGACTGTTTATTACTACCACCAGGCCTGGGACTCACCTCATAGAAGCCTCGAACCAGGGCTTCTGTCTGCTGTACCACGCCTCGTTCCACCCGCCACTTCACCATCCTCTCTATGTATTCCTTCTTGTTCTTTTCAGTCACCTGGGTATTGGCTCCCCCAGATTTTAACTCCCTTTCTGTCACCTTATTATAAAACAGAAAGATCGTGAGGTTTGGCAGCTCAGTTTAGCTCTCAGAGTGACATGCAGATTTTTAAAATGAAGTAAATGTGATTTACAAAGTTATTTATGTTGATTTTTAAGCATGCAATATTTCAACACCAATCTCACCACCAGTGTTCCTATATTCCCTCCCCAGGCCAACCTCCACCCCATCCCTGACTGTCAACTTGATGGACACATTACAAAGCTCGAATATGGTTGCAGCTTAGAGCTCATGTTTTCAGTGTTATTGAATCTGTGTTTTGGCTATATGACTATACCATGCACCTCTATCACCAATTTAACTTAAGTCCTGATGCCTATTTACCCTCACTTCTTATTCTCTTCTTTTCCTTTTGATTTCTTTCCTTCTCTGTCCTCCTCTCTAAACACAGGGTTCAAGGTTGATCTATGGTCTAGGCTTCCCTCCTTTACTATAATACATTTCCTTATCCAGTATTCTATGTACCACAGAAAAGTGAGATCATCCAGGGTTTATCTTTCTTCAGGCTTATTTCATTCAACATGATATCTTCCAGTTCCCTCTAGGTTGCAGTAGATTACACGATTTCATCATTCCTTGCAACTGTATTGTATTCCACTGTTTATATACACACCAGGTCTGACCTTGTCTGGGCCAGGTGCTGTTCGTTTCTTTACCGATGAAATGGCATGTCGGATTTCGGAAGGGAGATCTTTGGGAACAACATATCCATCCTGTGGAATTTGGTATGTCGGCAGGTTGACATGGCTATTGAAGAGATCTGAGTAGAAGTCATGGATAATCTTCTCCATTGCCCTTCTGGAAGATGTGATAGATCCATCAGGACGTCAGAGGGCAGTCATCTTGGTATTGTTGTTGGCGAAGGACAGGTGGGTGTTACGAATGCTTTTCCCAGCTTCTGCCACATCTACCAGCACTTCTGCTCTTCTCTCTGAGGTCTTCCTTGATCACATCTCTGCACTGCTTTATGAGCTGGGACGTTCGCTTGCAGTTGCCTGAGGCATGCGCCAAACCACGTGGGCAAATAAGCTCAAGAGTTTTCGAAGACTGGCATCTTTTTTGTGGCTATCTCTCTCTTGGCATTCCTCGCACAATCAAGGAGGTGCTGAACCAGTCGATCATATTCCTCATCAATGTTGTCAACAATGGCATCTTCCCATGTTGCAGAAATAGTGCCAAAGAGCTCTCAGTTGGTGGTCGTTCTGGGAGTTCTCTTCTTAAACTTTGCAGCCCTTTCTCCCTGCTCTGTGAAATAGAATTTTGAACAAAGGAGACGGTGGTTTGATCCTGTTTGGAATTTTGGGACAACAGCGACATTGGTCAGGCGAAACCATTGATTGAATATGATGTGGTCAACTTCATTGTGGAACCATCCACCGGGAGACTCCCAAGTCCAACGTATAGATTCAGCCTTCTGGAACTGTGAGTTACCATGGATGGTCTTGGTCGACATGATGAATTCAGAGAGTCTCTCACCCTGTTTGTTCCATTCTAGGCCATGAGTCCTGATGTGAAGTTCTTTGGCTGATCTTCTTGGTCCTATCTTGGCATGAAAATCACCCACAATGATCTTGTAGAAGGTGTGGTCTTCTTTATAGAACTTCTCCAGATCCATGTAGAACTTCTCAATTTCTCCTTCATCATAATTGGATCTTGGTGTATAGAAACAAAGATAGAAACTGCCGGCAGTGAGCCACATCTATTCAAGTGTAATCGTCTGATTCGGGTTGTTAGGCATTCGAATGAATCAATGCTCATGGCCAACTTCATGTTGACAAGGACACCGACGCCTTCGACACCTCTTTTGTCGCATGTTCCGAGGAACAGTTCTTCTCCAGTGTTGAAAACGGTGTGATGTGATTGATGCCTTCTCGTTTCGGTCAGACCAATGATGTCCTACTTGATCTTTTGCCCTTGTTCCATCAGGTCCTCTATGGATGCATCTGATTCTAGTGTATGTGCATTGAAAGTACAATCATTTTTGTCTTTCTTCATTTTGGCAGCCTAGTTCGGCCTTGAGATTTTATCAGCCTCTCCTTCCTCATCCTTCTCAATGCTGCATATTGGTGACATCTTCAGGGTCAGGGGAATGAGACCCATTATAATTATTGGTTTTGGTATATCGAATACACAATGGATAGCTTGCCAGGCTCTGCCGTGCAGGCGGAATACTCTCGGTAGCTTGCCAGGCTCTCCGAGAGGATAAAGGCTTTTGGGGCAGCGTCTAATCGCCCTTGTCGGTGTTCCCATGGTTCAAACCAATTTGAACCTGATCAAAGATGGTGCAGCAATTCTGGAAGATGGTTATTATGTGTCTTAGGATGTGTTGTGTGGCCACTTGCGGCCGTGCAGTCCAGAAAGCGTCCTGGAGCATGGTGGTGGCTGGGTAGTGGAGATAGTGGAGGTAGTGGAGGTCTGCTGGTGTGGTATTTATCTGGTACCGGTAGGGGTAGGGTGGGTCTTCTATGCGAAATCCAATCCCTGGGTCTCTGGTGGTTGGTGGAAGCAGACAGGTCAGGGTAGGGTGGGGCTCCTGGTTTTAATCAGGATCCTACGTGAGCTGAATTATGAATTCACTACCAGGATCTCACCATTCTACAAAGAAGTGATCATCAATGTCAAGAGAGGGGTTTGGCAGGGTGTTACCATTTCACTGAAACTCTTCAGTGCCACCCTCGAGAAAATCATGCGACGACTGGAATGGGAAGGAATGGGAGTAAAGATAGACGGTCGGCAACTACACCACCTCCGCCTTGCTGATGACATCGTTCTAATATCACCAAACATCAGCCAAGCAGCACAAATGCTGGCCGACTTCGACCGTGAGTATGGAAAGGTCGGACTACAGCTGAATCTCACAAAGACAATGTTTATGAGAAACAGTTCCTGATGCTCCATTTGCTATCAATGGAATGAACATCTCCGAATGCAACAGTTATGTGTACCTAGGTCGAGAAGTCAACATGACAAATGACCTGGCACCTGAACTGCGCAGGAGGAAGAGAGTGGCTTCGAACACCTTAAAGAGCGTTGAAGAAATAGCTAAGAGGACGAAGAACCTCTGGCTCCGGGCACATCTCTTCAATTCCACTGTTCTTCCTGCATTAACATACACCTCAGAGACCTGGGCCCTACAAAAACTGGATGAGAACGCTATTCAGGTCTCCCAAAGAGGAATCGAAAGAGCTATGCTTGGAGTATCATGTTTCACTCAAATGAGAGAAAGAATCTGAAGTTCCGATCTCGGTCGATGATCAAGAATCAGGGATGCTGTCTCGTTTGCCAAGGCATCAAAAATCAGATGGGCTGGACACGTAATGAGATTAGACTAATGTTTAATAGTGTTTAAGAGTGGTCCCTTCTTGATCCCAGCTGCCCTCTCCCCCAACACTTTAAGCAGGTTTCCAACTGGAAACTGTGAACCAATCCTCCTGGCCCTTTTTCTACTGTCCTTGGGTATTAGTCTCAGACTTTTTTTTTTTTAATATCCCACAAATGAGTGCAATCATTCTTTGTTCCTCTCCTTCTGAGTCATTTTATTCAGCATGATATTCTACATGTCCATCCATTTATAAGAGAATTTCATGACTTCATTTTCCCTAACAGCTGCATAATATTCCACTGTGTAGGTGTACTATAGTTTCTTTAACCACTTGTCTGTTCTTAGGCACTCGTGTTGTTTCCAGATTCTGGCTATTGTGAGTAGTGCTGCTATAAACATAGAAGAGCAGATGGCATTTCTGCAGTGTGTTTCTGGGCCCCCTGGATATAGTCCCAGAAGTAGTATTGATGGCTCAAAGGGAAATTCAATTTTTAGTTTCTGAAGGAATGCCTATATTGTTTTCCAAAAAGGCTGAACCAGTTGTCATTCCAACCAACAATGAAGGAGAGTCCTTTTCTCCTAGCATCCATGTCAGCACTAGTTACTCTTGTTCTTTTGATGTGTGCTGTTCTCTGTCATGAGATAATATCTCATTGCTGTTTTGATTCGCATTTGATGATAAGCAATGTAGAACATTTTTTCACGTGTCTTTTGGTCATTTGTATTTCTCTGAGAAAGTTTCTGTTCATTTCTCCTCCTCATTTTTTGATGGGGTTGGAGGGTTTTTTTCTTGTAAAGTTCAATCAGTGCCTTTTATATCTTGGATATTAACCCCTTGTCATATGGGTATTGGGTAAATAATCTTTCCCAGTCTGTAGGCTTCTTAGTATGTTGGTCACTGTTTCTTTTGAGGTTCAGAAGCTTCTTAGTTTAATTAGTGGTACCATTTGTATATCTTTGCTTCCATTTGCTTGGCTCATGGTGTTTTGTCTTTACAGATATTTTTAGCTTCAATATCATGGAGGATATGTCCCACATTTTCCTCCATGTAACTTATGGATTCAGGTCTGATATTGAGGTCTTTAGCCCATTTTGATCTTACTTTTGTGCTTGGTGTTTGAAATAACCCCCCAAAATAGCTAAAACAATACTTGGGAAAAAGAAGTTTGGAGGTATCACCTTCTTCAACTTCAAACTGTACTACAAAGCAGTAGTAAATTAAAACAGCCATAGTATTGGAATAAAGACAGATCTGAAGATCAATGGATCAGAGTTGAATATTCTGACACCAATCCTCAAATATATGGCCACCTAATCTTTGATAAAGGAACAAGAAATATAAAATGGAGCAAGGAATACCTCTTTAACAAGTGGTACTGGAAAAACTGGACAGCTACATACAAATTTTTAAAAATTTTTAAATAATTTAAAAAGAAAAATGGTTTTTGTCACATGTTCTGCGGCATTTCTTTCTTTTAAAAATAAAGTATAATTTTCTCTATTTTATTCTATATTTTTATGTTCTGGGCTAGATAAAACTTACTAAGAAATTATTTAGGCTAGGAGTAAAATTTTTTGGTTGTGTTTTTATACCACACCAAGGTTGTTACTGGCATTGCTTGTAGAACCACGTGTTGCCAGAATCTGATAAATTTTCACCAAAAAGACTTGTACTCTATAAATGCTAGTAAAAGATAAATAGGAAGCTTTACCTTATCAAATGGCATAAGGTATATGCATTTTGGAGAAACAAATATCAAAATTCTAGCGATGAAGTTATTCCCATAGCTGCAGAATACCTAAATATGCATCTGAAGTATAACAGAAATACCTTACAAATGCATCATTTCCCCAGTGAAAATGCTTTCTGATCCATTATATCATTTGATTTCTAAATGCTGTATAAAGTTAATCCATATTATAATAAGAGAAAGAAAATGTGAGCATTATTAAAGGAAGTAGTACTTAAAGAATTGTGTTTTAAATGAACGAGATTCCTTGTTTTCTAATCTAAAAACAAAATTGTATTACCATATGATCCAACTCTTCCAATCTGGCATCCCAAAGAGCTGAAATTGGAGACTCATAGATGTAAGTTCATAGTATTATTTACAATAGCTACAGATAGAAGCAACGCAAGTATCTACCAGCAGATGAAAATGTAATTCAAATAATGATATATCAACTCTAAAACAGGAAAGTAGTCCTGTCACATTACATTATGACTTTCTCTTGAGGACATTATGACTAGTTAAATAATCCAGTCACAAAAGGACAAATACTACATAATATCACTCTTAAGATTATCCAATTAGTCTAGATTATATGGGTCTATGCAGCTGATTTACAGAGAAAAAGTAGCATAGTAGTTATCAGGGGCTGTAGGAAGAAGACACAGGAAATTATGTAGTATCCATTTATTCAAAATAAAATAGTTCTGTAAATGTGTTGCACAATAAAAATATGATGAAAAATGTAAATTTTATAGTCTGTAAATTTTCTATAATGGAAGCCAAGATTTCCTTTCCTAGCCCTACATTTTACAAACCTGTCCAAAAACTTCTTCATTAACAGTAAAAGTGAGATCTAGAATATCTGTAATGTTATTGTCCTTCATCCACTGCAAGCTCTGATGGAATTCTTCATCCAAATATTCCAGGTCACTCAAGTCACAGGGTCTAGATACATTAAAGGGAGAGAGATAATCAGAATTATTAAATTAATGGCTGCCCAGATTATTCCAAAACATAGAAAGTTTCAGTCTTTTGGTTGAAACAATGCAGACATATTCTAACAATATGATACTTTTGAATACACTGATTAATATTTTTAGTTCATTCAGCAATTTTTAAAGGCAAATATTAAATTATTTACAAAATATACACAAAATAATTAGTGATTCAGGAATTTTCCTTGACAATTGAGGAAATGTATTATTGTAAAACAAGCTGTATCAGTTATACTTAGGAATTATTGATCTAATTGTGACATTTGTGATTGTGGTATTATTATAATAAATAAGCAAATTCATTATCTGATACTGTAATAGTCAACTCCTATGCTGACATAAAATATCAACTGATTTTTTATTGTGCTGAAAATTTTTTGTTATATCTCAGCATTAGAAAAATAAATCATCATAAGCCTATCAGAAGCAAGGGGCAAAAAGGCAAGAGGTTCCAGGGAACCAGTGCCTGCTATCCTAAATGCAGTGCTGAATAGAACAATGCCTGCAATATACTTACAGTCTCAGTAGTGCTTTATAGAAGGGCCTTGTGAAGAAAGCATCGAGAAGGTATTGATGGATCAGAGCCAGGCCTAGGATACGACCACTAAATCTGAACCTGGAACATGAAATAAATTTTTTTTTATTAAAAAATTTTTTAATAGTGAGACATCATGAGGTACAGTTGCAGACTTACATATTTTTGTGCTTGGGTTTCAATTATCACTTAATCACTTAACTTCCTGTTAATCGTCGATTTCCTCAAGTGAGCGCCAATAATGTCTCCATTTGTCCCTGTCACGTGCTAGTGTAGCCCAATGGCGTCTGTTCTCTCTAGGAACACGAAGAGCCTCAAACGGATCGTTCATGATCTTGATGAAGAAGTCTGACCATCTTGTAGGTGGGCGGCCACGCAATCTCTTGACATCCCGTGGAATCCAGTCGGTAACAGCTCTAGTCGAGTAGTCGTCTTTGAATCTCATTAAGTGACCAGCCCATCTGATTTTTGACACCTTGGCAAACAAGACAGCATCCCTGATTCTTGATCGTCGACGTAGGTCGGAACTCGGGATTCTTTCTCTCATTTGAGTGAAACGTGATATTCCAAGCATAGCTCTTTCAATTCCTCTTTGGGAGACCCGAATAGCATCCCCATCCTGTTTACATAGGGCCCGGTCTCTGAGGCATATGTTAATGCAGGAAGAACAGTGGAATCAAAGAGATGTGCCCAGAGCCGAAGGTTCTTCGTCTTCTTAGCTATCTCTTCGACGCTCTTGAAGGCGTTCCAAGCCGCTCTCGTCCTCCTGCGCAGCTCGGGTGCCAGGTCATTTGTCATGTTGACTTCTCGACCTAGGTACACATAGCTGTTGCATTCGGAGATGGTCGTTCCATTGAGAGCAAATGCGGCGTCAGGAACGAGGCTGTTTCTCATAAACATTGTCTTCGTAAGATTCAGCTGTAGTCCTACCTTTCCACACTCACGGTCAAAGGCGGCCAGCATTTTTGCCACTTGGCTGATGTTTGGTGTTATTAAAACAATGTCATCAGCAAAGCAGAGGGGGTGTAGTTGCCGACCATCTACACTCCCATTCCTTCCCATTCCAGTCGTCGCATGATGTTCTCGAGGGTACACTACCTCCACTACTCAGCCGCCGCCACACTCCAGGATGCTTTCCGGACACATCATAAGACACTAAATACCCATCTTCCGGAATTGCTGTAGCATATTTGATAGGGTTCAAATATGGTAACACCTACCAGGGTGATTAGAGGTCGCCCCAAAAGCCTCTATCCCTCTCGGAAAGACTGGCAAGCTACCGAGAGTATTCCGCCCGCACGGCAGGGCCTGGCAAGCTATCCGTTGTGTACTCGATATGCCAAAACCAGTAATTACAACTGGTCTCTTTCACCTGACCCTGAAGGCTTCACCGACATGGCAGCAATGAGAAGGATGAGAAAGGAGAGGCCAATAAAATCTCAAGGCAGAACTAGGCTGCCACAACGAAGGAAGACAAAAATGATCGTCTGTACTTTCAATGCACGTATGCTAGCATCAGATGCATCCATCGAGGACCTGATGGTACAAGCGCGAAAGATCAAGTATGACATCATTGGTCTGACCGAGACAAGAAGACACGAATCTCACCATGCCATTTTCGACACTGGAGAAGAATTGTTCCTCGGAACATGCGATAAAAGAGGTGTTGGAGGCGTCGGTGTCCTTGTCAACACAAATTTGGTTTCAATTATACAATGATCAAATACCCATCCCTCCACCAGTACCCATTTCCACCACCACGGATCCCAGTATCCTTCCCACCCCCCATCCCCCTCATCCCACCCTGCCTCTGTGGCAAGGCATTCCCCTCTGTTCTCTCTCTCCTTTTGGGTGTTGTGATTTGCAGAAGATACATTGAGTGGCAATCATGTTTGGTCTATAGTCTACTTTCAGCATGCTTCTCCCATCCTGGGAGGATCGTCCCAACACCTTTATTTGGTATTCCCCTCTTTATCTGAGCTCCCTTTTCCCCTAGTATGTGTGGTTGGCCTCCAAGTCATGGAGTAAAATTCCTGGTACTAATCTCGGTCATTCTTGGGTGTTAGTTTCCTAATTTAAGAACAGGTAAGAATTAACAATGTTAAAATATTTTCATTCATATTTTGTTTGATGTGTTTATTTATGGTACTCATCTTAAGCTGCTTAAGGGCGGAGCCATTCTCCTGGTTCTCTTGCTGTAGATAATGCCTATGTACTAAAAGAACTCCTATCCCCAAAATACTGTAATAGTCATCATTTTTCCAGAATCATCTTCTCATACCCCAGAGTAACCTAAGAGAAGAAACGTGCTGGTGAAGAATTCTAGAATCTTAGATAAATAGCCCAGATTGAACTTGAGGATCTCAACCTTTCTGAACTCAAGGACACTGTAAGTTTTCTGAAACATGCACCTCATTAAGTATCCCAGAAATAGCATTATGGTCTAATGTGTGCCTGATGCCATGCTGGCAGATGAAGAATGAAGATGAATCACATCTGGAAGTTGTGACATGAATCAACTGAAAACAGTACACAGAATCACGCTGTGCTAAGTATCAAGCTGAACTTACACAGCTATTTAATACTGCCAATGACAGACAAAGGATAAGAATGGATCGGTCATACAGACTTGTCCACTTCCAGATGGAAGGACATTCACTGATTTAAATTGTTACTGGGGCAAATAGCTTTCTCTGTTACTTATATGTGTAAACTCACACAAAAGGGGGGGCACGGCACTCACACAGCGGCGGTGGCTCTATCTCTCCCGCCGCCCGCATTCAGTAGTCTCACCCTTCTCCCACCCCGGAGAGGTCGATGGCGATGGTCAGGCAGAGGAAGGAACGAGGGCCAGGCTGGTAGGTATTAGTCGTAGTTTATTCTGATTCTCTCTTCATCTGTCTCTGATCCCTCTCTCCTTCTCTCTCTCTGCTCCTGTCTCTCTCTGTCTCTCCTCCTCTTCTCCTTCTGCCCATTACCCACTCCTACAGTACAGTTAAATCCTTTCTCCATGAGGAATTGGGGGAACAATTACACATAGGTGTGGTCACAATCAATAGGGGTAGAACTCTTAGCCTCAGGGAAAGCAGCTCCTAGGACAGATCCTCATTATCAGATCAATCCACCCTAGAGCAGATTCTCCTGGGTGTGTTTCTCCTCTCCTTGTCTAACAAACATATAAGCATATATAATATAAATCATTTTGTATGGATACAGTAAGAAATATCTTAAACTTATAGAATTGCTCTCCTAGGGCCATCTCGATCTCAGACTACGGTGCTCAGGCCAGATAGTCTTTCCCACCCCTAGAAGGATCCTAGTCTTGTCGTTACCTTTGGATCATTACAGCAATTGTCTATGATCAAACTCTTAACTTATAGTTAAGAATCGTGGCACTTTGGCCTGGCCCATTTCGCTGCCAGGGTAGCTCACTGCTTGCCCTGGGTCCATTCAGTCCCTCGTCGGGACCCTGCTTTGGGGTGTTAGGAACTAAGGGCAACTGAGGCTTAAGTCGAGAAAGCAGATGCCCGGGAGTGAATAATATTCACGGCCAATCAAATCCTAAGTTACAAAGCATAATATTAACGGTCTTCCTGTATCTATACAAAAAGGATATTACCTTAAAGTAAACTGTTCATAAGGCATAAGGAGAGGAGAAAGGCAATATTTCACTCATACATATAAAATCATAGATTTCTGGGAAACTGATCTTACAAATTAACAAAGTCTGATTAAGGGGAAAGCTGATTAACTGGGTGGGAAGGAGAGCATAGGGAAGACTGTTTACAGATAAACTCAATGGAAGTGGAAGTGCTTCAGGAGGACTGTGATGGGTGTAACCAGATTAATGGGTGTAACCAGATAAACCTAAGCTTCTTGTGGAAGGACAAAGCAATGTTACCCAACACTTACAGGTAACCTCCTTAGCCGAATGCTGAGGCTTCCTGGACCTTAATTCCATCATTTCTCAGCTTCTAAACTGGCTTCTTGCCTATCTGGTCTAGCACAGTGCTTTTCTCACAATGTGGGCTTTGCTCATCAAGAGCACCCACTCCTTAATTAGTCTCCTTATAGAACTAGACTTTCACTTAAGCAGGAATTTAGTTATGACTTTTATCAGATCCTCCCTATTAAAAATTTCAATTTACACATATATACTGTCTTCACAAGGCTATTTTTTAATTCAAATGTTTTCTTATAACTTCTATAATTTATGTAAATGAATACATCATAGACCAGTGCAGTCTCCTGCCCCTGCGCCTGGCTGTTCCTCGCCGGGGTCCCTTGGAGGGGAGCGGGTTGAGCTTTCCTCCCCGCCCTGACCAGGGTTCCGACAGCCGAAGACCTCCAGGACCAGTCACCACCATGCTGAGACCACTCTCCGCACACATGAAGGTACTGGCAGAGGGACAAAGCCACGCAGGTTCCGGGGCCGAGATCTCCAAGCCTACTGGATTGGAGTTGAGCATCCTCCACCCAGATCCTCCAAATTCCAGTAGGCGGGGGTCACACCCACCACCTGGCCCCCTGTAATCCCATCAACGGCCAAGACTCAGAGACTATAAAATCCAGCTCCCGGACATCTTATCAGGACATCTTTTTATGACGTCTTATTATTTCATTCCTACTTTGGACAAACTTGCAGGCTATCGAATGTAGCCTGCCCACAGGGCAGAGTCTGGCAAACTCCCCATGGCGTACCAAATATGCCAAATACCAGTAACAATGATGGGTCTCATTTTCCTAAAGAGCCTTTAATATAATCTCAGGGCTAGGATGAAAGAGACGTTACTGGGGCCTGCTCGAGGCAATCGACGAATAACAGGATGATAAATGAATGAATGAAAATGAATACATCATACAGTCCTACAGAATAAATGTAGTACTGAACAACAGAACTTAAATTGGCATGCTTAATAGAGCTGATTCTACTGACATGAAATGATATGTAAATATCATTGAGTACAAAGAGATAAACATAACATCAGCAAAGGTGCTATCAATACACTATTGGTAGGTGCTTTAAAGGATACTCAGATGTCTCAGTTATTGAGATCAGGATACTTCAGCAACACTTCAAC